TGCCTTCCCAACGCTTGCTGTATGTTTTTAGTCCTTTCACAACCCAATAATGAATTCATTAAACTAGTATTACCCAATGGGCATAATCTGGAGGATCTGGATACTGAATTAGAACACCAAATACCTTTAGCTTTAAATGAAAACTACATAAAAGCATTTCAGGCATCCCTTTGGCTATCACTTGCTTACAGCCAGTATGAATACTGCTAGAAAAGCTATTTTCGTGCAGATGTGGAATTCAATGGGAAAGACTGACTCGTGTAGCAACATCAATCAAAACGTCGGCTCCGCTGGCAGCTCTCGACAGTAAGGCAGGTTCAAAGGTCACAGGATAAAGAAAAAGCCAAGCTCTGGTTCAGCTCTAATATCTCCTCGCTAGAAGTCTTGCAAAGGTACCTACCCCCCTTCTGTACTAGGCGGCTTTCATTAATCTTCTTGCCATCTTTTTTAACTAGTCATGCAGAACCGCTCGATAGCGAGACATATAATGGGGAGGCCCTGTGCCTATTACCAGGTTAACACTCTGTTAAGCCCCAGTGCAACAATGGAATAAGAATTTAAAGGAAATCTTAAGCTGCAGGGTGCAAAGCAGGCAATTAAATTACAAACCAAAGTTACCAATGTACTCCATGACCTACAGAACACCTTTGTTTAGACTACCTTAATATTAAGGATATTTTGACACAGCAACTGAGATGTATCTGCTTTATTAAAACAAAAAAAAAGGCATAAAAAGGATCACAGAGAACGTTTCTTCAGTGTTTCAAGTAAGTTATGAAATAAATCTGATTTCTGCAGCTATCGTAAAATACACATGAATGGAAGAACCCTATGTATTTCCAAAACTGTAAGTCTGCCCAACTGATTAGCCTCAGTGCCACTAAAAGGCCTGCCCTGAGGTCTGCTCACCTCTCCACGCATCAGCGCTGGCTCAGCGCTCCCGCAGTGCGGACGCCGAGGCAGCCTGGTAGCCCCGGCCCTTGGAAGGGATGGGCACGATGCATCCATCACAGCCGCACTTTGTCCACAGTGCACTTTGTAAAAAGGCAGTGGTCAGTGACACTGAAGTTTCTCCCTTGTCCAAGTAATGTAAGAGACGTTAACAGAATCAGATTTCCTTTAAATTACACTATTGCAAAGGGATATAATTGTATTAAACATATTATGTTGCTTCCTTAAGACTTTATATTATGTACACTTAATTGAGATACAAAGCCCTCTTCAGCTATAAAAATGACAACTACTTTATTAAGGCTTAAATCTTATTTCTCAATGATAGGATGCTTCCTTTCAAGATTCAAAACATTCAGAATCTCTCGTGATAATCAGACCGAACCTGATTTAAGCAAGCCGTTTATACACAGTGTTTTCAGGTTCTAATGGCATTTGATCAAGCCAGCAGGGCCATTACCTCTTCCCTCTGTCTAAATTCAGGGAGTCTGATTTAATTTACAAATAAAAATTAAAATGCTGACCCAGGCCTACTACAAGGGCAAACAAAAATCATCAGCCATTCCAGCCTACAATACCCACACTAATGGCAAATTAGATGCCCAAGCTTTCTATTTTCTTTTTCTGTTTTCACCGTATGCGGCTCTAAGTTCTGCGAACTCACAGCACAGGAAAGCTTCAGCCCCGTCCAGAGCGACTTCGAGTCCGTCCGTAAATATTCACAGCATGTCATCTCTGAAGTTGTCGAGTTCTTTAACGCTCACACAAGTGCTACTAAAGCTTCACTGCATGAACCTGTCTTTTCAGAGAAAACTAACAGAAAATCAGCACAAGGCTCTCTGCTACACTGATACACAACTTCTGTGTTCACATTTCTGCAGAAAAGTACCAGGAAAAACTCTGAAATCTCTTTAATCTGCAGAAGGTAAGAGCTAACTGTGTTAATTATTAAACTGTGTTAATTACCATGTTCAGAGGAGCAATTGTTACAGAAATCCGCAGTTATACTGATCACAGTGAGCAAACTCCAGTCCAACACCCCTTGCCCTTACCAAAAAGTAAGGTCATATTTGGAGGCTTCTGAAAACCCTCCACCTCTCTCCGGAATTACAAGAAGTCAGTCTAGCAAAGCAGCACTCAACCTTATTGCAACCCCAACTGCCAATGTCTAGGGAAGGCAGGCAGCTTAATAAAACATACACTATGTTTTCACCCGGTGTAACTGTACAAGCACTGTCACAGCAGAACACTTCTGAAAGACGAGATGGAGCATGTTTGTGTTACAAGAGATAAAAACATGAAAACAAAATATATTGCAGAACTCAAAGACCTTATCTTTACTCGGCCTCTCTTTCTTTGCAATAATTCATTCAAGGAAGATCTGGGAATAATTTTTGATGTAAACTCTGCTACAAACATATATCACTATGCTGATAAAAATCACAGACAAAACTTGTGAAATACAGTGAGTTTCATTCCTTTTTGCTACTAAAATAACTTTTTTCCATTTAAAATTCAAGAGATACTGATCTGCTGTTAAGAGTTCCCCAAAATGTATCATTCTGAGATGTCACACTAGAAGTCTCTTCTACTGGCCTAAAATAATGACTTTTGGAACATCTTTAGTGAATCGGGAAGAGGTCAGCAGATTTCAGGGAGAATTATTTTCTCCTTTTGGAACTATGCTGAGCACCTATTTAATAGGACAAGTTTATGACGGCCACGTGAAAATGAGTAAATAAAAATCCTCAGTATCATAAAAGTTGCCTTTGTCGTAAGCTGTCAGCATCCTCTCCAAAGTGACCACGATTCTTCATTCAATGACCTCCACATGAAGGTACTGCCCTCTGCCGCCGGACTCCATTTGGGGGTTGAACTTCTGTCCCTTATTTCTGCCTGGGGTGGCGGGATTTGGGTACAAGCATCGTTTCCTACAGCAGCAGGTGCTGCCTCTGGGGCTGAAGAGCCCCATCCCCTGCAGGACGCAGTTCTGGAGGTGTTCAGCTTGAAGGTCTCAGACTAGCGTGTTGATGGAAGCGTGAGCTGGGAACCTCAGCTTTCAAGGCTGGCTTTTCAGATACAGCCTCATTCCGTGGGCACAGTTTTACCACCACAAGTGTTTGCATTTGAAATGAAATGTGGCTACAAACCCAGAGGTGTTAATACACTTACAAGCGCAAACCTGCACCTTGAACTATAAAGGTAACCGTTACACATTTTGGACTGCCTGGTCACTAGGGAAGTCTCCCCTTGGGATCACGCCTTCCCAAGGACCATGAAATCTTGCTGGAGAGACCGAAAAGGGAGACAATGACTGGACTAAGAACATGGAAGCAGGAAGGGGTAATGAAGGGGAGAAGGATATAGTTCAATAATTGCTGATAAAATCTGTGGCAGCCATAAATTTACTCTTCCAAGAGAATTCAACAGATCATTACCTCTGTAAATATGTATCACATAATTCTCCCTCTCTGTCACCTTGCAGATAAGTACTTAATACTTAGCATCCCTACCCTGCAAAAGCACAAGTGTAATAAAATCCATCTGAGCTTTTGAACTGCAGTTACTTTTTGATAGGAGATAGTTACATTTTGGCAGCACTGGGAGACATTGCCCAATTCCCCCCAGGCCTCTCTTTGCTTTTTAAAACAAATTGTTCAGATACAGGCTCTCATTACTCCACTGACACGACAAGCAAAAGCACTTGGCTTTTGGAGTCGCACTCTGAACGTAGCAAACTCTGACCTCTTGCTGATGACCAGCTGAACTGGGACGTCCAACCCGTCCCCCAGCTAACCTAGCTGCCACTGCTAGCCAGGCACGGCCACTGCTTTCCTGAAACTGAACTCTCAGAGCAGCATGTTGTAATGCCGGTGACCTGCAACCACGGCTGAAACAAATTTAGACTGCGCTGATACTTACTGTATGTCTGAGATCCTCAATTGCACCTAAGAAATTGTTTAAAACCTGTCTGAATGTCAAGGAGTTCAAAAAAATTGCAAGTATGCTGCAAGTATATTTGATTACCGTGCTATGGGGCTAGAGACCAGCGAGGCAAAGCCAGTGTTTCCTTCCTATGACAGTGTTAGCAGCTACTGATAGTGGGCAAGAAACACTCTTAATGATGCCATTAGCTGTAAGCAGCATTAAAAGGACATTCACAAAACGTGTATCTGTTTAGGTTGTGTTCTCTGTAACAGAATTGAGTCAGATTAAAAACGTCCTATAATGAATAAAATACACCTATAGAAAGAAAAGGACACGGTAGCAATAATTCTTTGGGCATCTAACACACACAGGGAGGGAGAGAAGAGAGAACATAAATAAAAAGGACTACTCACTTGGGCTTTTTTCTTCCGCAAGGTCACAGGCACAGAGGAGTTCAGAATCGATTGAAATGGGTTTCTGCTTAATCCAAAACTTAGTGCTGGCCTTCTGATTAGTAACAGGGTCTATCTCTACCTTGTCTCCAGAAATACCTGAGATGAGAAAGAATAGAGAGCCACAACAGTGATCTGTTTAAGCGATTTCATATCAGCCATTTGACACACTTTATAAATCTTAAATGGGATGAAAGTATATTGCCCTTTTGGGCTTTTTGAAAGCACAGGAGCTTTTGAAACCAAAAGCAAATCGTTATCAAACTGCATTGATAATCTGCATTTCACCCTCCTGCATAAGCATACCAACAAGAAAGAAATATCACAGAAAAAATTCTTCTCAACACATACAGAGCTCTTCTGGAAGCAGTAGCTACATGACCTGCAAGATTTATAGAAAGATACTGCTAGTTTTTCAATCACCACTATTATATGTAATAGACGCTATCGCACACCATCCCTGTTCTATCTCCTATACAGCATATGCATTATATGCCCTATAGGAGAGGACAACACCCATTTGCAGCACTACAGAAACGCTCTTTGTGTTACCCAGATACTCATAAACAAAGACATCCAGTCCCAGAGATCTTGTGCGTTTTTACACTGCTGGCATTTTAAAGCCAGCTCTAATTAGGCTGCTTTGAAAGCAAGCTGGGGATTTGTGTAGCTCCTGGCACGGGCGCCGGGCCCCGCTTCCCAACACGGGCTTCCCCAGATGGCTGGCGCTTCGCTACTGCTGCGTGTAGGTTGACCTGGATACGGCGCGCTGCCACACGCGAATCCTGCAGCAGACCTTTTGTGAGCGAGAGTAGAAAATTCCTCTATCGTCCCTCCAGACGTTACTCCCGAAGTCCTGCAAAAACAGCCCTTCTAGCAGGACGCTGCCGGGGCAGGCTGGGGGCTAACAGCGAGCTGGAGCCGGCCCGGGACGCTCGCTGTAATTTGTAGTGGTCTTTATCACAGTATTGCGAAGCAAAAGCCCTGCTACGCCGCACTGATGAACAGAAACTCATTGTTCAGTAGCTGTTGACATGACTGAACAAACTTCCCAGTGTGCTTTTTACATCAAGATGTGTGGAGCCTTAAAAATAATTACATTTCTTCAGTCAAGAGTTATAGGTGAAGCTCATGAGAAAGCTACAAAAGGAAGCAATACAGGAAAAAAGTATTTAAACATCATTTAACTCTTGCATCTCCGGAAAACCAGCAGAGATAACCTTTTCCTTCTTGAGGGTTTTGGCTATGATGCTTTCAAATACATTACGCTTGGCTCATCTGAAGCACAAGAAAATCTGAAGGAGCTGATGATAAAACTTTTAAGAGATGTGACAAAATAAAAGTAAGATGCCACACACGTAACGACTCTCCCAAGCCCGCCTAAATCAACTCAATATTTCTTAAAGTCTGGTCATAGCTGCAGAATTTGCAAGCCACGTTCGTTTGTATTTTATGCAACTCTAAAATCAAAGCATTCGGACAGCAAGGACAGACACCTACAGCGGGCTTCTTGCTGCAGTCCTTTCACTAATGCAAGGTTACCTCCATTTTAACCCTGGCTATTACGGTAGGTTATAATAACGCCACCAGCCCCCTCCCCCCTTCTATTAATCCAAGAATGCGCTTTGTCGTTAAACATACGTCACATCAGAGACATCACCTTTCAATTAAGCATTGTATCAAGAGTCCAATTAACACAAGGACTGCTAGAGCTACGTAATTTGAGCGGGCTGATGCTGTATCTGGAGCCCATTTTGTTTTGTAATTTAATTTTGGACAGATTATTTAAAATCGGCGTTGTTATTTCACTGTAATCGTTAATTATTCAAAATGGCATTTTCTGTAGTTTAAGGAAAATATGTGAAGCTGATGGTACAAGTTCTTATTTTCTCACTGAAAAAAGTCAAGACAAGTTCTAAATTTGCATTTAGAATTCTTTGTGTGCGAGGGTTGTCCCCCATCCCTTCCTCTAAAAACGTCACCCCTGAAAATATCCTTAAAAAATTTTCACTGTACGGTCCTGCAACTTCAGAATTCACAGTCAGTCAATATTGTTAATGCACCTTGTTAATTTGATAGGATTTGTCAGGTAACTCCACTGGAAAATTATATAAAACTGTTCCAGATGAACAGATGATAATGACATGAATTAAAGTGATAGAACAATAGTGGAATATAAACCAGAAATGACACCCAAAGTGGCTGTTGATTTATTGCCATCCTGAGTTTGGTTCTGGGCTTCCATGTATATTAGTGCTACAAATCTGGGTCCATTTAGCAGAGAGATGCTCATACATACATCACCAGCTCCTGCTCCAAGCCAAGGTCACTCCCCATTGCATCAATCTTTTCAGCAGAGGCTACTTCACCAAGCATGGATTTTGTAACCATCTCAGATGTAACAGACTTCCTCCTCTTTCATCTTTTTTTTTATCATGTAAAATACACTTTAACTTCTATTATTTTTATCTGCAAATTGTTGCTGTATACTTCATCCATTATTTCTGTATCTCGACATCACTGGCTTAAGCTCACACACATCCAAAGAGCACATTGACAAAGAATGTTGTCTTTTTTGTGTTATTGTTCTCACAATCTGTATGTGTTGAAACCTAAAAATCAAAACAGTATTATGTATGTGGCTTCTGCAGTCTCTGTATCGCAGCACAAATTAGTCACACTCAAAACCCAAGTAAAAATGCTTCTTCTACTATTTTTTTAATTCATTCATTTTATCAAAAGAAATGTCATCGACGTATTAGTCCAGTAACACTGTTCTGTTCTTGCTTCCTTTGTTGGGGTCTGCAACTGCCCCCCCCTTCTCTGAAATACTTGCCAGCAGTAATTTTCTGAGACAATATGCTTCTTTTAGTTTTGCTAACGTGATACACAAGCAAACGTGTCTTATTCCTTCACAACATGATAGAACCTTTGTAAAAATGTTGAGAGTACTACTGTATGTGCATTACACTCTAATATGAGCTAAAACATAAAACCCCAGACCTTTAACTGCTATGGCTAAAGCTTTCCACTGTAATAAAACCATCAGTCAAAAGGTGGTCATTCCTCCCATGGTCATTTACGTATCGCTTTTTACTATCAGGAAGAACTATGCACAATGTACAGAAGATAGAGCTTACTCCAATATTTTTGGTAAGCCTTGCCTCAAATTCAACGATCAGGCCGCAAAACAGCTAAAACATTTCAAAAAAGTACCAGTATGCAAACAGTACTTCACAAACATAGCTCACACTATTGCCACCTGCTCTATGCAACTGAAATAAAATCCAATACAGAACCTATTCAAATTCAATGACATGTGTATGTCTTACAATATCAGGGCAAACGGCAGGGAGTAGAAATGAGCTACGCTGAGGGTTTTCTCCACCACTGCTGGGTTCTGTCAGCCTTCCGTGTGAAGCCCGGGAAACTGGGACTCACCCCCAAAACCACACAGATATTTTCAGTGCAACCATTGTGCGGTATTTCAGCTAGCCTGACAGCCAATATGCTCCTGCACCGACATCATCGATACTGTCAATAAGGAGCAATGGAATTATTTTGGATTCTCGGCATCCGCTAGAAAAACTGTCGCTTTGCTATGGCTGTTACATAAAACTGATGACATAAAAATGCTACAGAGAAAAGTCTTTGGAACTGGCTGTCATTAAACCGACACAAAATACCGCCCAAACCACAGTTACTGATGAGCAATGAAAAAAAAATTAGACATCGTTTTTTACATTTCAGATTGTATGGAGCAGTCTGTCACTTGCAGAAGATGAACACATGAACACTCAGCAGCCCTAATCCAAATAGCACCTCAATGCTTATTTTACCAGCATTGCTCTTTTAATATCTTTAAAAAATTCATGAGAAAACCCAGCAGCATACACTTATTTTGACTTTATTTAGAGGTTTTGATGCTGTACATTTGCCCAAACTTTGAATATCTCACTGGGGTTTTCTTTGATTTTTAAGAAGTAATTACATTATAAAAATCACATTGCCAGTGTACTGCCATCAAAAAATATACAAGTTCACATATTGTAATAAAAGGGAAATTTTATGGTCCTTACACTACTGGACAGGGTCAGCTCCTTCACTGCTACACAAGTTAAGCCATTTGTTTCATTTAACAGCTATTCTCCCTTAACCATTTATCTTTAGCGATCTGTCATGACCTTTTCAAGCTCTCGTTTCTGACACTTTCCAGATACAGTGAGTCAAACTTCACTGGAAGCAAACTATCACACCCAGACAGTTTGCTCAAAAGCAGAAAACATGCCCAGCGCTGCCCTGCTTCAGCACCAGCATATAAATCCTTCCTTAACAAGACAGTTCAAAATAAACTAAGAAGGCCTCTTCTGTAAAAATTTTAGGGACATATACTTTTATATGTGCTTAAGGATGGAAGAATGAAGAGACTGTAGTGACAATAATACAGAAACCGCTATAGTGTAAATTTAACAATTCTACTGAATTCTACAGAATAAATGTATTTTGTAAACATTACGGCACTTAATATTTTACTGCTGAATCATTTCTTTACGGAAGGTATTTGCAGGAATGTCACAGGTCACCTACCAATGCATCATTAATCAAATTTTCACAATTTAAACACGAAGATAAAAAGCCATTCAATCATTTTAAAACAGTAATGGGGCTTTTATAATTCAAGATTCTGTCATCCCTTGGCCTTCGGGTTTTCAAAAGCATTCAGAAAGCTAATAAGAACAACATAAAACCTTTAGAGAATGCTAGTTTTATTTTGTTCCACCTCAAATTTCCACTTGGTCGTTAAAATCTTTCAGTCTCAGAAAAGGAAAAACCTAATCATTCCCAATTTTGCATAGCCTCATTTAAAAATAACAAAACAGTTGGCAAGAAGCTTTCCATTAGGAAGCCTAGATTGAAAAAAGAGATGGGGTCATTAAATAATGGCCTTTTTTCAGAAGAAACATGTGCTAGCTGATTGTGGATAATAAAAATACTGAAGTATTTTCAACTGAAGGCAATTTTTTTTAACTGCTGAAATGCTAGCAACACTTTCAAGTGATGTGCTCCACGATAAAATAGACCAACATGAAAATGACTGCTTTAAAAACATCTGAGATGGACAGTCAGCTATTAGAGATGGCCAAAGGTTTGAACCGTTCCATTTTCCTAAGCGTTATAGTACAGATTGATTTACCTAACTGAACATCAGTGGTGAATCGAAGCCTATGGATCATGCTGACTTTGAAGGACTTGTAATGGTGGCTACTGAGCATGTCCTGAACTGTAGCTATATCGATCTGAGGGTCCTCCTCCGAGACCTCTTCTCCTCTTGAACCTGCAAAACAAGCCAACAATAATGAACGAAAGGTTTAAAATACAGCATACGATTCAGCTAACATGTAAGTACGGCTGTGATGTCTGCAGCTGCAGATGGCTTTTTAAGAAAGAACAAAATGCTCAAGTCCATGTCTCTGGGAGGAAGAAATTCTCACCCTCCATCCAAAGGCAAAATCGCTAATTCATTAAGGACATTACAACACACATTTGCATCCCACACGAAGAGCAGTGCAACATCCCAGCGGCAGATTCGCAGGTGACACCAGACACCCCTGGCCCGCAGACACCCCGGGGCTGACCTGGTGGGATCCCCGCCAGGACGCCCACAGCCTGTCACCCCGGTAAGGCGCCTGGCGAAGGGGGGCCTGTCCCCAGCCAGGGCAGCATTTTCAGGTGCCGCCCTCGACATATGCACCAGCACCGTTCTCCCGTGCTTCAGCATCCCCCCACATGGGATGTGACGCTGGCATCTTGCTGCAGCGCTGGCAACACCTTGGGCACTCTGATCTCGGCCCTGCGGTACCGAAGCTGCGCTTTATTTACTGATTAGTATTCTCATTACTACTGCATGTACTGGCTTTATAAAAGGTAACATCTCATTAAGCCAAAATGCCAATTACTGAAAAAATATAACGCACTTTAAAGATTTTTTACATTTTATGACGTTGGATTAACACCAATTTAAACATTACTATAATGCGATATATAATTTTGTGCAGAGTAATTTCTATGCCAGCTGCTAATAAAGCATCTCAGCTCTAAATGATCATTCAGATGCTGTTAGATAAAGTGGTATAAATATGTTTGAAAACTGATTTAGCTTCTTACAGAAGATATTGAAGAATGACACGTTTTGTTTAATATCCCAGCTAATGTAGTCCTAAAAGCTGAATCAACTGCCAGTTCAGAGTACTAAATTTGCTGCAGGAGATTAATGAAAACTTTATATTTTGCTGAAATTTTAATAATGGAAAGATGAGATGATGGAATTTTAGCACAGGTCTTAAAGATCCAGCAAAGCAGGCTAAGAACTTGTCAGATTTTTTGGTATTAATTTTGTTCGAGACTTGCACAGTTGGAGCAGCCTCAACACTAACCCTTCCCACACTGACCTTTCCCTCTGGGGACGCAAATTCCCACCCCGTTTGGGGACCTCGGCTCACAGGGAAGCTTCGGCGAGTTTCCATGTTTGGGCCCTGACGACAAGGGGACGGTTTGCCATGGCTCCCGGGGGAGGAAAACCCTGGCACTTGTCTCAGACACATACTGTTGATGCAGAGGCAGGCTCCCTGTTAACAGGGTAATTCAGCGTTGCAGCAGTACATGCCGTTTGTTTCAGCAAGGGAAACTGTCGGGGTGGTGGCCATAAGCAGGACAAACGTAGGCGAGAGAGAAGAAAAACCCCACCTGAGCATGGAGCATTTTCCTGCTGGCTGAAAGCGTTCCCTTTTCTATCTGTTAATTCAGTAACAAATGTCACCGCTTACGATAAATATCTTTCATGTCTGCATCAAAGTAAGGTTAGCATTTGCTGTTAAATGAGTCAAAATACATGTTGAGAGCATAAAGTAGGAGATTCACATTTCATAGACGTTAGTCACACAAGCTTTCCACCCTGCGCACAGGAGAGCGGGCGAGAGTGACGCCCACTCCTCGCCGCTCCTAACGCAGCCTCCTTGACACGCAACTGGGGACCCTTCTTTGGGGAAGGGGGACAGCGAAGGGTTAAGCTAGAAATTGGGCTGTGCCATTCAACTTGAAAGAATTCCAAAAATCAAATGAAACAGTCTACATGTGAATTTATGCAGAGCCATCTTAACATTGCAACCACTCTATGCTCCAGAATGACAAGATAAATTGTAATGGCTCCTTCAGAGACATTACAATGTATTTTGTCAAAGACCCCTGTGTTAATGTCTCTATACTATGGATTATCATAATGTATCATGTCAAACCCTCATGCTGCAGTACTTCAAAGATACACTGAGATATGTCAAACTTTTTGGTGCACTTAAAAGCATCTTGAAACACTGTGGCATGGCGGTGCCTGAAAGCAGGAGGATGGCAATGGCACTGCTGCCCTGCAGTCGAGAGCGAACTGGGACCCTCTTCCACCGATGGAAACCAGTGAAATGCCCCGACAGCGGCTCCCAGTCACGCAGCCAGCCCTGTCCCCGCAGCATGCGGTCACAACAGCACGCCGTGCTGGGGTACAAGCCGCGGCACAGCGGGACCACGCGGTTACACCTGGGTATCCCCCTGCCCACAGGGGAGTTAGGGGCTGGGGGCAGACAGGGACACGGTGGGGCAGGGAAGGACCCCCAGAGACAGCGACACGGCGTGAACCCAGGCAGCGCAGAGGGGTCACTGCTGGCGGGGGGCGGGGAGAGGAACCCTGAGCCCCGCGCACCCCCGTTTGCAGGGAGGTCATTAGTGCTGCCCCTAATGAAGCCCCGCTCCAGGACTCAAAGAGAAGCCGCCTCCCCCGAGCCATTTCTGACTGCGGTGTGCGCTGTGCGCTGCCTGCGGCAGCGTTTTAGCAGCGGGTGACGAGACACTCACCTCTGTGCAATTGGCAGCACTGTATATAGTGGGGTTTTAAGTACAGTATTATACGTAAAGAAGTGTTAGCACCAACAGACAAACTGAATCGGTAGCGATAAGGAATTCAGAAATAACACAAAGAATGGCTCATCCTCATACCTCCTGCGAAATGTTCTTAATACACTTCACAAGACCAAGACTCGCAGGACGCTCTGCAGGTACCGCTGCCGTGGCGTTCCCAGCCTCCCCGCCTGGCCTCGAACCGCCCCAGCCTCACCGTCCACTGAATTACTGGCAAAGTGGGGACATTACGTGTCGACTTTACACAGTCTTATGAAGCTGAGTCTTCTCGGATTTCACACACCCAAATTAAAAGTATTAGAAAGAAAATTAGCAGCCTGTCAGATCACATCCAGGGGAAAAAACTGTCACTGCAACTAAAAACATGAGCACCTTGTCAGTGTCTAAACTGCAGGAGCATTAACTGTCGCAGTCGGAGCAGAGAACAGTGGGATTTTGCTCTGGAAGCCTTTCAGACCCTCCGCGTATCGGTAACCTCTGCCGACTTTGTTTTATGAAGCTTTGTGAATGGATTCAGGTTTACAGAATTTCTACAGTTGCTGCTCTTGGGAGAGCAGCCAGGAACTCCACCATCAAAACAGATCATCTGTCTAAAGATGGCAAGACACGCGGACCCCTGAGGGTGCATTGGATAATAGCAGTAATATCAGTAACAACAGAGAGAAATGCCCTGCAGGGAAAAACCTGACTGCAGAACTTGGCATATTGCTCTTACCCTGCAGCTCTGCGAGGATGCCTGCGAGACTGCCGGCGTTCAGCAGCGGAGGGAAGAGCCATCTCCACCAGCTGATTGGGGGAAAAATCATAAAAATATTTTCCACATGCAAGCAGCTGTGAATAAACCTGTCAAATATTTACAGGCCTGTCAGGGTATTTGTAATGGAGATCACAGTGTGGCTTTTGAATGTAAAAGCTTCTGCTTGGGAAGACAATCTAGTAAAGTGGATGCTCCAGGTCTATTATTTAGCCCAAGAGCCGACCCAGCAATATGGCTCTGCTGGCAGAGAGACCGCTCCGTCCTGGGAGGAACAGATTCCTATTCCAGAAACAAACTCCTTCACATAACGACATGGAGACTCAGTTTGCAATGACCTCTGTATTTTTTCCTTATAGTCTACCTAATTAAGATTCACTTTGTGAAAGAAAAAGTGAAAAAAGCTGAAGTCAGGTGTGGGATAAACAAGGCACAAGATAAGAATCTGCATGAAGTGCAAGGCACAGCTACGAGGGAGGCGTTTCCCTTAGCCCAGGACAGGGGTTTAATTATTGGCGAGGTAGGGTAGGAAAATCCATGAACGGAGCAGGAAAAGAACAGCCGGGAGGAAGCCCGTGCTTCCGCCCCACCATCACCAAGCCAGGGACAGAGCAACGCGTGGCACAACTAAGCAGGGAGTCTCTTGATTTTCCGTCATCCTGGCACTGCCACGTCTGGTGCCAATCCTTCCACCCTACCTTCGGAGCACGCCCGCGGGGGCAGAACGCGGTTGGTGCTCGGCCCAGGGCTCAGGCCGGGAGCTGCCTGCAGGGGCAGAGCAGCGGGTGCCTGCTGCCCGCACAGCCGGCCAGCTTGCCCTGCACCAGCAGCCACGGCTTCGGCGCCACACTGGGCACTACCGGCATAACTGGAGACCAACCCCCCCCACCTTTTACAAGCTCTACTCGTTACAGTGGCTTTTTTTTTGCAGGACCTACAAGA